CAGTGTACTTACTGATCATGTCTACCCACCTTTATACCCTCTTCCTGGTTTCCCTTGGTCCCCTTCTTAGTTTTTAATAGCACATTTTCTAGTTTCAGGTCCTTGTCTTTCCATATATGAAAACAAAAAACACATAGGAGTTTAAATATTTAATTTGCCTTCCTCTTCTATCCATTTTCCTGAAAGTCACAGGATCTTGTTCTTCATGGCTAGTAATACTGTTGTTTACCATTTTTGTTCACCTATTGTTTGGCACTTAGGCCGATTCCACACTTGGCTGTTGTGAATTTTACAGCAAACTTGCATATATCTCTAGTATGCTGTCTTAGTTAGGGTTTCTATTGCTGTGAAGGGACACCATGATCATGGCAATTTTTTTTTCCTGGTTTTTTGAGACAGTTTCTCTGCGTAGTTTTGGTGCTTGCCCTGGATCTTGCTCTGTAGACCAGGCTGGCCTCGAACTCACAGAGATCTGCCTGGCTCTGCCTCCCCAGTGCTGGGATTAAAGGCATGTACTACTGCCGCCCAGATGACCATGGCAATTCTTCATAAGAAAAACATTTAATTGGGGCTGCTTACAGTTTCGGAGGTTTGGTCCAATATCGTCATGGCAGGAAGCATGGCAGTGACACATGGGGAAGGAGCCAAGAGATTGGCCGGTATCAGGAAGAGAGAGTGAGCCACTGGGCCTGGCTTGAGCTTCTGAAACCTCAAAGCCCACCTCCTATGACACACTTCCTCCAACAAAGCCACACCTCCAATAATGCTACTGCTTATGAGTCTATGGGGGCCGTTTTCATTCAAACCACCACATTTACGGATTCCATTTTCATATTAAAAACTCAGAGGTGGGAAAATGATACGGGAGTTCTATCTTTAATGTTTGGAGGGACCTCCATATTATATTGCACACTGGCATTATCCACTTACATTCCTAACAATGTATGAGGGCTCTACTTTGCCCAAATTTTACTAAAATATCAATTTTAACTGCAGTAAGTTTTCATTTGCCTGAATGCTAAATGAACATTTTTCACAGTTAGTGGCTATTTATATTTTTTTGATGTCTCCTCAGACTTTCTTAAACTTTTTTAGTTCTATGTGTAGTTGGAGTCTTACGTAGGAAATCTGCCTGTGTCAGTATTCTGAAGTTTTCCCCTAGGCCTTACTCTAGTGGTTTCAAATTAAATTTTTGATCTTAAAGCCTCTTGTCTTTTTTGTTTTTAGAGTAAGATAAGGGTCTAGTTTCAGTCTTGCATATTTGGATGTCCAGTTTTCCCTTCAACTGCCCTTTATTGAACACATATTTTTAACGCCTCTCATTGAGACTCAGTTGAAAGTTCCTTGATGAGTTCACGTGTGTCCACCTGGTTCCTGTCTGCTTTTGTGCCGGCGTCGTTCCTTTTGTTACAGTGCCTGCAG